TTTTTCTCTAGATTCATTTTCGCTTTCAGGTTCGGATTCAATTTTTTCTCCAATTCAGATTCGGATTCAATTTTGTCAAGACTCATTTTCGGTTTCACTTTTTTCTCCAAATTCATTTTCCGCTTCTGCAAAAAATTGTCAACTCGCAATCAAAATTGTCAATTCACAATCAAAATTGTCAACTCACAATCAAAATTGTCAACTCACAATCAAAATTGTCAACTAACAATCGAAATTGTCAACTCACAATCAAAATTGGTTTAACTTTTTCTCCAGGTTCATTTTACCCATCTTTCTTTTCTCCAGATTGATTTTGGATTCAGTTTTTTCTCAACATTCGTATTCGGATTAACTTTTTTCTTGAGATTCATTCTCGGATGGATTAACTTTTTTCTCAAGATTCATTTTTGGTATGAGTTTTTTTCTCCAGATTCAAATTGCGATTCACTTTTTTCTCGACATTCATTTTCGGTTTCACTTTTTTATGCAATTTCACTTTTGGATTCGTCTTTTTTCTCTAGATTCATTTTCGCTTTCAGATTCGGATTCAATTTTTTCTCCAATTCAGATTCGGATTCACATTTTGTCAAGATTCATTTTCGGTTTCACTTTTTTCTCCAAATTCATTTTCCACTTCTGCGAAAAATTGTCAACTCACAATCAATTGGTTTCACTTTTTTCTCCAGGTTCATTTTACCCATCTCTTTTTTCTCCAGATTGATTTTGGATTCAGTTTTTTCTCCAGATAAAGATTCGGATTCACTTTTTTCTCGAGATTCATTTTTAGATTCAGTTTTTTCCTCCAGATTCAAATTGGGATTCACTTTTTTCTCGAGATTCATTTTCGGAATCACTTTTTTTTCAGATTCATTTTTGGATTCACTTTTTTCTCAAGATTCATTTTCGGATTCACTTTTTTTCATGAGATTCATTTTCCGATTCATTTTTTTTCTCGAGATTCATTTTTAGATTCACTTTTCTCGAGATTCATTTTCGGATTCACTTTTTTCTTAAGATTCATTTTCGGAATCACTTTTTTTTCAGATTCATTTTTGGATTCACTTTTTGCTTGAGATTCATTTTCGGAATCACTTTTTTTTTAGATTCATTATCGGATTCACTTTTTTTTCGAGATTCATTTTCGGATTCAGTTTTTTCTCTTGATTCATTTTCGGAATCACTTTTTTCTCGAGATTCATTTTCATTTTCACTTTTTTCTCGAGATTCATTTTCGAATTCACTTTTTTCTCGGGATTCATTTTCGGATTCACTTTTTTCTTGAGATTCATTTTTGGCTTCACTTTATTTCTCGAGATTCATTTTCAGAATTACTTTTTTCCTAAAATTCATTTTTGGATTCACTTTTTTTCTCGACATTCATTTTGGGAATAACTTTTTTTTCGATATTCATTTTCGGATTCACTTTTTTTCTCAAGATTCATTTTCGGATTCACTTTTTTTTCAGATTCATTTTCGGATTAACTTTTTTCTCCAGATTTATTTTCGGATTCACTTTTTTCTTGAGATTCATTTACGGATTCACTTTTTTTCTCGAGATTGATTTTTTGATTCAATTTTTTTTCAGATTCATTTTCAGATTCACTTTTTTCTAAAGATTCATTTTCGGATTCACTTTTTTCTCAAGATTCATTTTTGGATTCACTTCTTTCTCATGATTCATTTTCGGAATCACTTTTTTCTTGAGATTCATTTTCGGATTCCTTTTTTTCTACAGATTTATTTTTGGATTCACTTTTTTCTTGAGATTCACTTTCGGATCACTTTTTAATTGAGATTCATTTTTGTATTCACTTTTTTTCTCGAGATTCATTTTTGGATTCTCTTTTTTTCTTGAGATTCATTTTTGGAATCACTTTTTCTTGAGATTCCTTTTCGTATTTACTTTTTTTCTCGAGATTCATTTTTGGATTCACTTTTTTTTCAGATTCATATTCTGATTCACTTTTTTCTTGAGATTCATTTTCGGAATCACTTTTTTCTTGAGATTCACTTTGGACAACAAACTTTTTAACAACATTTTAACCACCTTTTTAACAACCTTGTAACAATTTTTTAAAAAACTCTCTAACAACTTTTTAACAACTTTTTACCAACTTTTTCACAACTTTTTAACAACTCTCTAAAAACTTTTCAACAACTTTTTAACAACTTTTTAACAAGATTGTAGCAATTTTCTAGCAACTTTTTAACAACTTTTTAACAACTTATTAACAATTTTTTAACAACTTTTTAACAAATTTTTAACAAATTATTAACAATTTTTTAACAACTTTTTAACAAATTTTTAACAATTTTTTAAACAGAAGAATTTCAGATATCAAAATAGTGAAAAATATTTTTGCAAAGTGGTATTATGTCTTAGGCTAATGTGTAAAGTGAGACACAGGTAGCCCTAGAACGACACAGGTAGCCCAAGACAGGCACATTAGCTCAAGAAAAAAGACGTTTTTTCAAAAAAAATTTCAGAGAATTAAAGAAAGTTAAAAAATGTTAATATACGAAGTTTAAGATTTTTTTTTATGAAGACTTAATTTGTCTTAGGTTACCTGTTTCGAAGCAGACACAGGTAGCCCAAGATAGACACAGGTAGCCCAAGAGAAAGACTTTTTTTTCCAAAAAAATATCAGAGAAATAAAGAAAGTTAAAAAATGTTAATATATAAAGTTTAAGATTTTTTTTTGATGAAGAATTAATTTGTCTTGGGTTACCTGTTTCGAAGCAGACACAGGTAGCCCAAGATAGACACAGTAGCCCAAGACAAAATTCTTTGTTGGTAAAAAAATCCAGATTAATTAAAAAATATGTAAATGCTTAGAGCTTGATAAAATCACTAGGATTAGGATTTGGTGTAAAAATTTGTGTGAAAATGTGTGTGAAAATAGATTTAAAAATGGTGTAAAAATAATGTCAAAAAATATTGTAAGTATGGTGTAAAATTGGTGTAAAAAAGTGTGTAAAAAGTGTGTAAAAAGTGTGTAAAAAGTGTGTAAAAGTGTTTAAAAAGGTGTGTAAAATTGGTGTAAAAAAGTGTGTAAAATTGTGTAAAAATGGTGTAAAAATGGTGTGTAAAAATGGTGTGTAAAAAAGTGTTAAAAATGGTGTAAAAATGGTGTAAAAAGGGTGTAAAGATGCAGTAAAAATGGTGTAAAAGTGGTGTACAAATGGTGTTAAAATGGTGTAAAAAAGTGTGTAAAAAGTGTGTAAAAATGGTGTAAAAAAAGGTGTAAAAAGTGTGTAAAAAGTGTGTAAAAATGGTGTAAAAAAAGGTGTAAAAAGTGTGTAAAAAGCATGTAAAAAAGTGTGTAAAAAGTGTGTAAAAAGTGTGTAAAATTGTTGCAAAATTGGTTTGAAAAAGTGTGTAAAAAAGGTGTAAAAAAGGTGTAAAAAAGGTGTAAAAAAAGTGTAAAAAAGGTGTAAAAAAGTGTATAAAAAGTGTGTAAAAATAATGTAAAAATGGTGTCAAATGTGTGTAAAATTGGTGTAAGAATGGTGTAAAAAGGTGTGTGAAAAAAGTGGAAAAACGATTTAAAAACGGTTAAAAATGGTGCAAAAGTGGTGTAAAATTGGTGTAAAAATGGTGTAAAAATTGTGTAAAGATGGCGTTAAAATAGTGTAAAATATTGTACAAATGGTGTAAAAATGTTGTAAAAATTGTGTTAAAAATGTGCAAAAAGTGTTTAAACAGTGTGTAAAAAGTGTGTAAAAAAGCGTGTAAAAAGTGTGTAAAAAGTGTGTAAAAAGTGTGTAAAAAGTGTGTAAAAATGGTGTGAAAAGTGTGTGAAAATGGTGTTAAAAAAGTGTAATAAATGGTGTAAAAAGTTGGAAAACGTGTGTAAAAAAGTGTGTAAAAAAGTGTGTAAAAAAGTGTGTAAAAAAGTGTGGGGGGGAGGTGCAAAAAGTGGTTAAAAAGTTGTTAAAAAGTGGTTAAAAAGTTAAAAAAAAAGTTGGAAAAAAATTTAGAGAAAGATGTGGAAAATGTTAGGAAAAAGTTGGGAAAAAGATGGGGAAAAATATGGGTAAAACATGGAGAAAAGGCTGGGAAAACGTTGGGAAAGAGTTAAAAAAATGTTGTTAAAAAGTTGTAAAAGAGTTGGGAAAAAATTTGGAGAAAGATGTGGAAAATGTTGGGAAAAAGGTGGGAAAAGTTGGGAAAAAGTTGGGAAAAAGTTGGGAAAAAGTTGGGAAAAAGTTGGGAAAAAGTTGGGAAAAAGTTGGGAAAAAGTTGGGAAAAAGTTGGGAAAAAGTTGGGAAAAAGTTGGGAAAAAGTTGGGAAAAAGTTGGGAAAAAGTTGGAAAAGAGTTGGGAAAAAGGTTGCAGAAGGATGTGGAAAATGTTGGGAAAAAGGTAAGAAAAAGTTGGAGAAAAAGATGTGGAAAATGTTAGGAAAAAGTTGGGAAAAAGATGGGGAAAAATATGGGTAAAACATGGAGAAAAGGCTGGGAAAACGTTGGGAAAGAGTTAAAAAAAATGTTGTTAAAAAGTTGTAAAAGAGTTGGGAAAAAATTTGGAGAAAGATGTGGAAAATGTTGGGAAAAAGGTGGGAAAAGTTGGGAAAAAGTTGGGAAAAAGTTGGAAAAAAGTTGGGAAAAAGTTGGGAAAAAGTTGGGAAAAAGTTGGGAAAAAGTTGGGAAAAAGTTGGGAAAAAGTTGGGAAAAAGTTGGGAAAAAGTTGGGAAAGAGTTGGGAAAAAGGTTGCAGAAGGATGTGGAAAATGTTGGGAAAAAGGTAAGAAAAAGTTGGAGAAAAAGATGTGGAAAATGTTGGGAAAGAGATAGGGAGAAAATTGGGAGAAAATTGGGAGAAAGTTATGGAAAAATTTGGGAGAAGGTTGAGAAAAATTTAGGGAAATGTTGGGAAAATGATGGGAAAGAAGTTATGGAAAGGTTGGAAGAAAGTTGGAAGGAAGTTGGGAAATGGTGTGGAAAAATGTTGGGAAAATTTTGAGAGAAAATTTGGAGAAATGTGAGAAAGGGTTGGGATATGTTGAGAGAAGTTGTGAAAAAATTGAGAATGAATGGAAGGGAGGGAGGAGAAAAAGAAAGAAAGGAGAGAGAAGAAAGGGGAGGGGGAAGGAGGGGAAAGGAGGGAGCAGGAAGAGAAGGCAGAGGAGGAGAAAGAAGGGAGGAAAGGAGAGGAGAGGGAGAGGGAAAGAAGAAAAAAGAAGGGGAAGGAAGAGGGAGGGAGAAGGAGGAAAAGGAGAAGGGAAAGAGGGAGGGAGAGGTGAGAGGGGAGAGAGGGAGGAAAGGAGGGGAAAGGAGGGAAAGGGGAGAGAAAGGGAAGAAGAGAGAGGGGGGAGAAGAGAAGGGAAGGAAAAATGAGAGGGGAGAGAAAAGAGAAGGAAGGGAAAAAAGAGGAAGGAGGGAAAAAAAGGGGAGGGAGAAGAGGGAGAGGAGAGGGAGGGAGGAAAAAGGGGGAAAGGGGGGAAAGGGGGAGAGAGAGAGGAGGGAAGGAGAAAGAGAGGGGAAAGGCAAGGGGAGAGGAAAAGAAAAAAAAAGGGAAAGAAAAGAGAAGAGAGAAAAGGAAATAGAAAAGGAAGAGGGGGGGAAAAAAGAGGGAAGGGGAAGGAGAAAAAAGGGAGAAGGAAAAAAAAAAGGAGAAAGAAAAAGAGAAGAGAAAGAAAAGGGGGGAAGGAAAGAAGGGGAAGAGATTAGAAAGAGAAGAAAGAGAAAAAAAGGGGGCGGGGGAAGAGGGGGGAAAGGGGGAAGGAGGGGAAGGAGAGAGAAAGAGGAGAGGAGGGGAAGGGAAAGAGGGGGAGGGGAAAGAGAGGAAAGAGAGAAGGGGAGGGGAAAGAGAAGAAAAGGGAGGGGGAAGAGGAAAGAGGAGGGAGGGGGAGAAGGAAAAGAAGAGGGAGAGGGGAAAAGGAAAAGCAGGGGGAAGGGGAGAAGAAGAGGAGAGAGAAGAGGAAAAGAAAGGAGAAGGGAAAGGAAAAGAAAAGAGGAGGGGAAAAAGAGAAGAGGGAAAGGGGAAAAGGAAGGGAAGAGGAAGGGGAAGGGAAAAGAAAAGGGAAGGGGGAGAAGGAAAGAGGAAGGAGGGGGGAAAAGGAAAGAAGAGGGAAAAGGGAAAGGGAAAAAAAGGGAAAGGGAAAAAAAAGGGAAAGGGAAAAAAGGGAAAGGGAAAAGAAGGGAAAGGGGAAAAAAGGGAAAGGGGAAAAAAGGGAAAGGGGAGAAAAGGGAAGGGAAAAGAGGGAGGGGGAGGGAAAGGAGAGAAGAGGGAAGGGGGAAAAGGGAGGGGGAGGGAAAGGAAGGAAGAGGGAAGGGGGAAAAGGGAAGGAGAGGAAAGAAAAGAGAAGGGAAGGGAGAAAAGAAAAGGAAAGGGGAAGAGGAGAGAAAAGGGAAGAAAGGGAAAGGGGAGAGGGAAAGGAGGGGAAAGAAAAGGAGAGGGAGGAAGGAAAAAAGGAAGGAAGGGAAGGGGAGAAGGGAGGGAAAGGAAGGGGGAGGAGAGAGGAAGGAAAGAAAAAGGGAAGGGAAAAAAAGGGAAGGAAAAGGGAGGAGGGAAAAAGGGAAGAAAGAAGAGGAGGAAAAAGGGGAGGAAAAAAGGGGAGAAAAAAAGGGGAGAAAAAAGGGGAGAAAAAAAGGGAGGAGAAAAGGAGAAAAAAAGGGGGAAAAAAAAGGGGAGAAAAAAGGGGGGGAAAAAAGGGGAAAAAAAAGGGGAGGAAAAAACAGGGGAGAAAAAAAAAAAAAAAAGAGAAGAAAAGGGGGAAACAGAGGGGGGAGGGAGGAGGGGAGAGGGGAGGGAAAGGGGGAGAGGAAGGGAGAGGGAGGAGGAGGGGGAGGAAAAAGAAGAGAAGACAGGAAGAGAGAAAATTACGGGTCTCAGAGGCGAAAAACGGTCAGCCTTAGGGTTGGGGTTTGCCATGGGGTCAAGGGTATGCCATAGGGTTGGTTTTATTTCTTTTTTGATTTTTAGGAGTTTAAAACGTTTTCTAGGAACATGCAGGGTTGTTTTAGGCTCCAAAAAATATTTTCTTAATTTTAAACATTTTTTCAGATTTGTTCGAGCAAATTAAAATTTTAAATTTTTTTAGAATAATGGTTAGGGTTAGCTAAGCTAAAATTAAAATTACGATTTTAGAAGTTTAAAGGGTTTTCTAGGGACATAGAGGGTAGTTTTAGGATAAATATAATATTCTTTTTATTTCAAAAATTTTTTCAGATTTTTTTGAGGCATTTAAAATTTTGGATTTTTTTAGGGTAAGGGTTAGGGTTAGGGATAGATAAATTTGATTTCTTAAATTTTGAGGGTTTGAGAAGGGTTTCCTAGGGTTATAAAGGGATGTTTAGGGATAATCAGAGTTTTTTATTAATTATGAAAATTTTTTCAGATTTGTTCGAGAACTTTTTAAACTTTTGGTATAACCCTAGGGTTAGGGTTAGGGTTAGGGTTAGGGTTAGGGTTAGGGTTAGGGTTAGGGTTAGGGTTAGGGTTAGGGTTAGGGTTAGGGTTAGGGTTAGGTTTAGGGTTAGGGTTAGGGTTAGGGTTAGGGTTAGGGTTAGGGTTAAAGAACATGTCAGTGTTATTAATGAAAATTTATTTATTTTTAGTCTGGATTTTACAAAAATGGAATCTTTAGCTCACATCAAACGAGACAATCAGACTTATCACTGCTTCATAGACGTGTGCGAAAAGATCTTCACAGACACTCCAAAAAGCACCGTTAGAAACTGGCTAAAGTCCCTAAACATCTCGACAACACCCTGTGCCACTTTGGAAGAGAGAATTCACTTTCGTCGACGGAATGCTTCTTTGGGTGCCACGTTTAGCCTTATTCGAGATGAAGACGTGACCCGTTTGATTGCATATCGCAGTGAAGGTGCGAGGAAGCGAGCCAGACATTCTCACAGTAGTTCTGCCACAATCCTCGACGCTGGTGATGTCCCCAGTCCGAGCCTCGCGACCACAGACAATCCAATTGTCAGACATTCTCACAGTAGTTCTGCCACAATCCTCGACGCTGCTGATGTCAAAAGTCCGAGCCTCGCGACCACAGACAATCCAATTGTGTCTTACAATCTCAGCGGCGAGTCAGACAGCGATGCACAAGAACCGCCTGTAGAAAAGAAATTTAAAGATGAAACGACGTCGCCTAAAAGAAATACGTATAGCATCCCATTAGACAGCGCGCCTGAAAGATTGAAGAATGAGGTAAAAGACTTGCGCCATTTCTACCTAAAAGCATTGAACTATAATCGTCCTGGGCCGGCGTTTTCAAAAACGACCGTCGACAAAATGGTTGAAAGAGCCATGAGCTTTATGTACTTCTGCTTGAACGTGAAAAACATTGCCATGTTAACCTTAGATCTATTTAACAATATCGAACTCTATACTAGTTACGTAGAATATTTAAAAGGGACCCGAAATCTTAAACCCTCAACTATAGTTGCGCATCTTATAATCGGTATAAACGTTTTGAAATTTAATTTGGCAAACTTTCAACCGAATTCGCCCGACTCGGAGAATGCATCGCGAACCATTTCAGCTTTACAATCATTTCAGCGACACTTTCAGCACGAAAGCAGCATGATATCCAAACTTCATAAGGAGGGTTTTACGAGCAAGGCAACTCAGCAGTTTTATTTCGCGCACGTTTTAGAAACTCTTCGTAACATACGCGATAAGTATTTGGAAACGCATGGGCTTGGAAAAAAGTAGGCACTTGCATGATTTTGTACTCTTGGCAACTTACTTAAGAGCCATTCCTGGCAGGTCGAAAGAATTACGGACCATGAAATTGCATATCGAAGCGGACTGCGGAACTTTCGATTTCACTTCGGTGGATGGCGGTAATTTTATCGTATTTCAAGAGGGCAATAGCGTTGTAATCGTGCAATTTGATTTCAAAACATCAAAAAGTATTGGGCCGACCAGAATCGATGTTTCCGATGACGAAGATCTGGTGTATTACTTGCAATTATATACTAAGGCAAGGCCATCTTTACTGCTCGGCAAGTCGCATGATTTCTTCTTTCTCAACAAGCGAGGCGCGCCTTTTGATAGCAGCAGTTCAATTGCGAGGTACATTGGCGATATTTTCATGCGCGAGGTTTCCATTCGAGCGAGCACTAATGCGTTAAGGCATGCTATCATCACATATTTCAGCACTTTGGACGACTCCAAAGATATAAATGTTAGAAAAAGTCTTGCGCTTTTAATGAAGCATTCGGTCCGATATCAGGAAAGCACGTATAACGATTTAACACACCACGAGAAAACGCAAAAAGGCCGAGAAGTTATCAGGGAAAAAATTGCGTCAAATATCTTCGGTGAAGCGGATTTTATTGCATTGCCTGACGAAAGCGATTGCCAAAATGATTCCGGGGACGAATTGTTACCAGCTGTCGGTGACATTGTAGCACTGCTTGATCCAGTTTCCACCAAAAATCACATTTCCTTTTTCATAGCAAAAGTCGCGAGATTCACGCAAAACAAGCAGCAAGCGCATTTAATTAGCATGGAGCTTTTGCCGGATTCCACAAATTTGTATAGACTGAAACCAGGCAGAACTTGGAAAGAGTCGGTTAAGGCGTTGGTTTTTCCTATAGACATCGTTTATAATGCGACAAGCAAAGCATACGAATTGCGCACGCTCTCTGATGATATATTCGACATTGTTCATGGTACGTCGAAAAAGTAAAATCCAGAAATATATCGAGCATGAAAAAGTCAAAATTTACTAGAGGGTTCTGTTATAATTAATAATCTTGTTCTGTTATAATCATCAGTATTCACTTGTTCAGATTTTGTTGGGATTTTAAATAAATATATGTATTCAAAATCTACACGTTGTGTCAAATTTGAGTTCTCTCACTGAGCATACCCCATTTATCAAATTACCCATCAAAGTTTGCATGAGGAATATTTTTGTCCTGATTTTACATTCACTTTTATACCTACCTGCATAATTGATACCTAATAAACCTTTTCAGTAATCTATGTGGAAAGATGCGAAACATCCGTCTGCTATATGGGACGCCTTGAGCCTCGTTCTCGTGTTATAGCTTATTTCCAGAATTTATTGGTCAAACTAAAAATCTTTTTCATGCATGCGTTGAAAAAGGATGTTTTGCACCTTGCTCGTGAGGGTAAAACTTAAAATACATTCCATTTAAGGTGGTTCTAAATTTAAAGCTTTGTGTCGTCAAATTGTTGTGACGTATTACCGAAAAGTTCTATTCTATCACTCCATCTTTACGATATAGATCAGATAGCTGAGCCCGATATCATGCATTGCGGACAGCGGCTTAGATACGCGCATGCGGGCATTAACGCAAAACACGAGTTTCATTGATGAAAATATAAAATATGGACAATTTTTTGCAAATATATGCTTTATAACTTCTTTAAATCTCGAATATGGATGTTTATATGAACTTTGAAGGCTGAAGTATTGTTTAAAATCATCGATTCGTCATGTTCACTCCAAAGAATGGCTCGGACGAAGGTTTGCCCTGCTCTCAATAATTACAATAAACCACTTGAAAAGCACTTACAAACCTATCAAAGCAATTGTCACGTAAGTTTTTTTTATAATTTTAATACTCGTACTTGCAAAAGAGTCTAAAATAGGCAAGTTTGTCTTCGGCAGGCGTGCTATCACTGGTTTAAGATACTATTTTTTAAGATACTTCCTATTATGAATAAATGGGTATTTTTATTAATAATTGAATGGGATTTTTTCAGCTTCCATTATTATGATTATCATTATTATTTTATATTGTTGATAAATCTTTATCAAAGTGTCTAGAGAAAGACAGTTCTTTGATCTAATTATAATCAGTATAACTTATTAAATGCCTGAAGTTCTTCTGCATGACATATGCAACTCAATATATCACATGTATGTACACTACTAGCTATATAGATAATCTTTGTATGATTATGATTAACAATATATAGTATGTGCTTAATGCAATGTATTCAATCGAATTCCACGATGAAAACGTGTGCTAGGAAACTGCAGATATGTGACATTCATTGATCGTATTATAATATTTTTGTATAAGTGGATTTTTATTATAATTGAATGGCATTTTTTCAGCTTCCATTATTATGATTATCATTATTATTTTATATTGTTGATAAATCTTTATCAAAGTGTCTAGAGAAAGACAGTTCTTTGATCTAATTATAATCAGTATAACTTATTAAATGCCTGAAGTTCTTCTGCATGCATATGCAACTCAATATATCACATGTATGTACACTACTAGCTATATAGATAATCTTTGTATGATTATGATTAACAATATATAGTATGTGCTTAATGCAATGTATTCAATCGAATTCCGCGATGAAAACGTGTGCTAGGAAACTGCAGATATGTGACATTCATTGATCGTATTATAATATTTTTGTATAAGTGGATATTTTTATTATAATTGAATGGCATTTTTTCAGCTTCCATTATTATGATTATCATTATTATTTTATATTGTTGATAAATCTTTATCAAAGTGTCTAGAGAAAGACAGTTCTTTGATCTAATTATAATCAGTATAACTTATTAAATGCCTGAAGTTCTTCTGCATGGCATATGCAACTCAATATATCACATGTATGTACACTACTAGCTATATAGATAATCTTTGTATGATTATGATTAACAATATATAGTATGTGCTTAATGCAATGTATTCAATCGAATTCCGCGATGAAAACGTGTGCTAGGAAACTGCAGATATGTGACATTCATTGATCGTATTATAATATTTTTGTATAAGTGGATATTTTTATTATAATTGAATTATTTTATGTTGTTGATAAATCTTTATCAAAGTGTCTAGAGAAAGACAGTTCTTTGATCTAATTATAATCAGTATAATTTATTAAATGCCTAAAGTTCTTCTGCATGACATATGCAACTCAATATATCACATGTATGTACACTACTAGCTATATAGATAATCTTTTTATGATTATGATTAACAATATATAGTATGTGCTTAATGCAATGTATTCAATCGAATTCCACGATGAAAACGTGTGCTAGGAAACTGCAGATATGTGACATTCATTGATCGTATAATATTTTTGTGTAAGTGGATATTTTTATTATAATTGAATGGGATTTTTTCAGCTTCCATTATTATGATTATCATTATTATTTTATATTGTTGATAAATCTTTATCAAAGTGTCTAGAGAAAGACAGTTCTTTGATCTAATTATAATCAGTATAACTTATTAAATGCCTGAAGTTCTTCTGCATGACATATGCAACTCAATATATCACATGTATGTACACTACTAGCTATATAGATAATCTTTGTATGATTATGATTAACAATATATAGTATGTGCTTAATGCAATGTATTCAATGGAATTCCGCGATGAAAACGTGTGCTAGGAAACTGCAGATATGTGACATTCATTGATCGTATTATAATATTTTTGTATAAGTGGATATTTTTATTATAATTGAATTATTTTATATTGTTGATAAATCTTTATCAAAGTGTCTAGAGAAAGACAGTTCTTTGATCTAATTATAATCAGTATAACTTATTAAATGCCTGAAGTTCTTCTGCATGACATATGCAACTCAATATATCACATGAATGTACACTACTAGCTATATAGATAATCTTTGTATGATTATGATTAACAATATATAGTATGTGCTTAATGCAATGTATTCAATCGAATTCCACGATGAAAACGTGTGCTAGGAAACTGCAGATATGTGACATTCATTGATCGTATTATAATATTTTTGTGTAAGTGGATATTTTTATTATAATTGAATTATTTTATGTTGTTGATAAATCTTTATCAAAGTGTCTAGAGAAAGACAGTTCTTTGATCTAATTATAATCAGTATAACTTATTAAATGCCTGAAGTTCTTCTGCATGACATCTGCAGAGCAATGGGTATAATTTTTCCTGGAGTCAAATATGTTGATGCATTAGAAAAAGCCAATATTCCAACCTTATTTGAAAGACGGCAATCTCTATGTACGAAGTTTTTTGATGAAATCGTGGATAACAAGGACCATAAACTCACCAATTTATTACCGGAAAGAACCGACGGTATTAATAATCAGTTAAGGACAAAGAGAACATTTCAAACGATCAAATGTTATACAAATCGTTTTAAAAACTCTTTTATGCCAAATTATTCAAATAGACACACTTCTTAAATGTAAATGTAATCTTGTAGCATGTGATGTCATATAGCTTGTTTAGGTTATGAATTCTAATTTTTAATGCTTGTAGTTGTAAATATATTAATAACTTTTAAAATATACATATTTTTACCATTCATATTGATGTATTATACATTTAATTCAGTCATAATGACTGCGAGATGTATATTTATTAAACGATTTGATTGATTGATTGATATGGGCATGACATACATAGCAGATATATCGATTTAATAAACCTTTCAACAGTTCAATTTGGAATGGACTGTGCAGTATGATATAATTCTGCCTTTGAATGGGGTTGGGAAATTTTTGGTCCGAGGTGAATTTCTATTAATCGATAGTCGTTGGGAAATTAATAGCAAGCGTTTTTTTTTCCAGACTTGATCCATAGCCAGTGATGGACAACTAGAGAGGAGAAAGAGTCAGGATTCTAATAAATCGGGTAAGCTTTAAGCTTATCATTAATAATGCACGCATGTTTCATTCCTGATACACACTGTATATACAAGTAGTGACAAAAGGGTTATTAATATCTAGCTTTGGCCAGAAAAAAACTTTATTTCCTGACATATGTACATTTTCAATACAGAAGCAACAAAATAAATAAATAGCCTAAATTTTCAGTGAAATGTCCGGCTTAAATGTTCAACTATTATGTTCAAATTGGTTGCATGTTCTTTTCAGTTCACATAAACGCCCATTTAGTTCTTTGCTCGGTCGACCAGTTGCATTCTGGGGACTCGAAAAGCCACGCAACGATTTCTCTCAGGCTTTCTGGTAGCACTTCATCATCACGGCGTTGTCTTAACAACGGGATCCAGTAGGAGCGAAGCCCACCGTAGTTCACCAGTATCTCCGTCGGACGTTTCGAGGGCTCCAAGCGCCGTTTCGTTCGTAGAACTAACTGTTCCCCGGTCGTGTCGAAGCGAGCGTTGCACTGTTCGTCTATTCGACTTTCGGTTTTCGCCCAATCCTCTTCCGTCAGAGGGGGCCTTTCCGCTGACGAAAGAGTTCGTATGTGCTTGAATGCTTCGAGCACCCACGGCTGATTTGCAAATCGTCCCAAATTATTGGCCGTTTCCACCTCCGCGTCGAACCATCGTTTTTTTCTGTGCACGAATATCGCGTAGGAACGAGAGCTGCTGTTTTTGTTCATTTCTTCCTCGGTGGTGCTTCGTTCGGCGTAAAGGCAGATATGCGCCCCGCTCTCGATGGGGAACTTGTGTCGTGCTAGGAACAGGCCGTGACCCGAGTTCGGAATTTCGCTTTTCGCGACGAAACATCGGCTTTCCGAAAACGTGCTACATGATACGATTCGAAAAAAAAAGTTGTCCGAATCTTGGCTCTCGGGCCACGATTCACCATCGTCTGCGAGAACTTGCCGCGATCCAGCGCCACTGCAGGCCCATACCTGTGTAAAATAATAATGTCGAAATTATTAGTTGTCATTGTTACTTGTCATGGTCGTTATTATTATTTCATATATTATACCGTAGGATCCTCGGGGCGGTTCAATATCGGACGATATTCTTCGTACGCGTTCACGCCGTGTTGTCCCCACATCTTTCGTATGTCCCACGGCAGGTTCGGGTAGGTGAAGACTTCTTCCGGCAGGCTGAAGATTCCCTCTTTGTCGACAATCGCCGCACGCATCGCTGCATCCACGGCGACGTCTATTCCGGTCGTGTAAAAAGACAGCGTGTACCCGGCCGCGGCGAGTTTCTCGGTCAAGTTATCCAGGCTGCCGTTCTCGTTTCTCGTGAAGACCTGAACCAATCTCCTGCCGAAACGGTCGTGAGGGACGTCGCGCTGGCCGGCCGCACCCGTACCGACGTGCAACAGGACCTCGCTCGCTCGGAATACCAGCTCCCTCGCTGCCCGCAGTGCTTCGATTCCAATATGTCGCGTAAGAACGGCGTCATCGTCGTCGACCCGTCGTCTGGTTGTTTGTAGATACGCACCGAGCACTCCGTCTCAGGCGCGTCGCAGTTTCTAAGCCGGAATCGTAGCTTCCCGTCGTCCGTCGCCAGGTCGTGGAGTTCGCGTTCGCACTCGGATGTCAGCAATATCTCGCCCGAGTCTCCGTCAAACATGCGCAGGCATTTCTTTGGGACGCTGACCAATTCGTGTTCCGCCGGTGTCGGGCTCACGGTTTTCCACGACTGGGGCAGTGGATCCTGCAACTTTCTCTCTCTCAGGAATGGCTGTAAGTATCTCGTCGTCATGCTTTGCACATCTGTGGGCATCGCCAACGATAGCGTGGGAGGGCTAAACGCGGGCGTCGAATTCGAGAAGTATAGCGCCTTGAGCAGACTCGTGGAACTCAGGCCGGTAAACTGAGTGCGCAGACTTTGGGCACGGAAATCGACGTCGTCGCAGTGCATCGGTCTGTCTGCGAAGCGAACCGGTTCGGTTTCCATTTGCGCCGTGGTCATTTCCAAATTGTCGTGGTATCTGCAAAGAAACAAACGTATTGATCGATGGTGAGACGTTATTACCTGCTGTGCTAGTATTAAAGTAAGGCCAAAGGCCCGATCTCCTCCTACCTAGTGTAGGCCTCGTCGAACTCGATGACCGCTTTGCACGCTTCGCACGCACAATCCTTCACCATTGCGAGATATCTTCGGTAGTGCTCGGCCCTTATCTCGTCTTCCATCGCGTCGCAGCCGGCCGTATAGTTGACCTTTCGACCGTCCGACTTGGTTTGCCGAACAAATTCTCGCACCAGGTTGCCAATGCAGTGTTGAATGCAATTGCTCACGCCGTTCGGGATTGCCGTTAGCGTGAGAATTTTTTGCACCGGCGTTCTGCTTTTCTCGGAATTCATCTCCTCCCACGTGGATTGCAACGCCGCCACCAAGCCAGCGTCGAGAATCTTCCAGTCGTTCATGGCCCCCCAAAATAGTTCTAATTCTACATGATTTGGGGGCTCGTCTTTCTCGCCGGCCGCCGCGAGCTTTTGCATCATTTGCACTCGCTTTGCTCCCGTGTTGGCTTTCGCAGCCTGGGCGCAGAGAGGTTTTCTTTTCTCCGGCTGCTCGAGACGCGCTTTTTTAGGTGGCCGGGGTGCCGTTTGCGGTGGTGTCATCGGTGCTGGTGGAATTGCTGGTGCTGTCGTGCTGGTGGTCTCCGCCGACTTCGGGAGCAATGCTCGTTTCGTTCCCTCTGCTACACCTGTGGTGCTTGAGCCGGCCGAATTTCGCTTACGGCCGAGGAACGCGTCGCTCGTGCGCGTTCTCTCCTGCCGTTTCGTCACGTTTCTCGCCCTATGGACGCCCGGAGAACCCTTGCCAAGGCCTTTCTTGCTCTTTGGAGGATCGTCGTCAGGTCGATGAGACGTTTCACCGGATCCCTCCGTCGTCGAAACTGTTGGAATTTTCGGGGCGTTTCTCGCCAACTCTTTGTCCATCTGCCTCTGACCGAACAGGCCTGAAAGACACAAAGTAGAACGGAAAATTTAGCAATTGACCGAGCGCGATATTTTTTCAACGCTCGTTTTCTCGCTCGCACCTTTTCCCCTTGCGAAAAGTGACACGTAAAATGTCTGGCACGCGTCGACAACCGCTTGCAGCGTGTCTCCGTCTTCCTCCGGGTCCAAGTTGTTGATCTGCCTCTTTATCGATTTGAAAATATTCTCCACGTAACCCTTGCACTTGTTCATCCTTCTTTTGCTTCGCCTGTAAAGTATATTCGAACGCTCGTCGCTCGCTGCATTTATACTCGCGTAATGACGTAATGGCTCGGTCTATTTTTACCGGGGAATTTACCGTAATTACGTCATTTAACAGAGAAGATACGAAAATAGAAATGATGTTTTATTTGTGCCAAAATTATTTATGCACGCTCTCAACTTGTGCTAAAATAAATCAACTGTATCTCTTGAGACACGGGATTGCGATAATGTGATGTATAAATCGAGAACAACACGGCCGGTTTTTCATTCATTTTATTAGTCTAAATAATAAATAATATATATAACCAGGGGGGGTTCAGCAGATTCATGCGGAGGTTTTCGGGCTACGCAACAGTGCGACGATGTATTGCTTAGATTCCTGACAACATTTATATCAACATTTATGCAATTGATGTCGCTTGATCTCGATTCCTCTATAGATCTACTACGGCCGTTGTTGGACTGATGAGCTCAACGAGCGACAAAAACGAAAATGTCGAAATTTCAACGAACACAGTCGTCGAAGCAAAGACGTCGTCAATGAATATTGCATTGTGAATTGCTCCTTGTAACTGGAGTTATCCCATTTCCGAAAGTCATCTCCTGATTGGTCTTTCTACTTCCACAGCTGAGCTGCGGAAGTAGGAAGACCAATGGAATTGCTTCGCTACTGATCTATCACATTCTGAACACGCTGTTGATAATCGCTTCATTGTTGCTTCAACGCGATGCAACGAAAGAATTACTTAATCCACACCCTGTATCGCATCGTAAGCATGCTTGGTATTGGATAGTAAATTAGTAAATCCACGGATTCCATTTTACCTAGCGTCGAAAATATCTGAATGTATTTTTCCCATTGTTTATTTTGTACAATACATAATTTACATATGCACAACATTTAAATATGTTTCGGCGATCGGGGGGGGGGAATTGAATTCCGGAATTGAAACAAACAACAAGCATGCATGGGTATTAAATGCTTTGGAAAATCCTCTCTAAATTTTACGAATTGATCATAAATGGCACGTTTTCTACCTCGGAAATAATGAAATGATGATCGTGGGCAAATCTACACTACGGTACGTCAATTCATTCATGATTCGGACCTCTTTGTTATCACGAATTCTAGCTTTCAGATCTCAATGTTCACTGAGATATGATATCATCTCAGCCCAGCAATGTAACAGAGAATTTAACCTTTGCACCCAAGGCCCCCAGCCAGAGGTCACTCATTCGAGCAGAGCTCTGCCATAATTAACAAGCCCATTGAATCATTGCATGTGCTTAGTTGTTGCATAGAATATCCATCCTGCATGCGCACACAGAATGTTCACTGAGATATGATATCATCTCAGCCCAGCAATGTAACAGAAGAATTTAACATTTGCACCCAGAGCCCCAAGCCCCCCAGCCAGAGGTCACTCATTCGAGCAGAGCTCTGCCATAATTAACAAGCCCATTGAATCATTGCATGTGCTTAGTTGTTGCATAGAATATCCATCCTGCATGCGCACACAGAATGTTCACTGAGATATGATATCATCTCAGCCCAGCAATGTAACAGAAGAATTTAACCTTTGCACCCAGAGCCCCAAGCCCCCCAGCCAGAGGTCACTCATTCGAGCAGAGCTCTGCCATAATTAACAAAGCCCATTGAATCATTGCATGTGCTTAGTTGTTGCATAGAGTATCCATCCTGCATGCGCACACAGAATGTTCACTGAGATATGATATCATCTCAGCCCAGCAATGTAACAGAAGAATTTAACCTTTGCACCCAGAGCCCCAAGCCCCCCAGCCAGAGGTCACTCATTCGAGCAGAGCTCTGCCATAATTAACAAAGCCCATTGAATCATTGCATGTGCTTAGTTGTTGCATAGAGTATCCATCCTGCATGCGCACACAGAATGTTCACTGAGATATGATATCATCTCAGCCCAGCAATGTAACAGAAGAATTTAACCTTTGCACCCAGAGCCCCAAGCCCCCCCAGAGGTCACTCATTCGAGCAGAGCTCTGCCATAATTAACAAAGCCCATTGAATCATTGCATGTGCTTAGTTGTTGCATAGAGTATCCATCCTGCATGCGCACACAGAATGTTCACTGAGATATGATATCATCTCAGCCCAGCAATGTAACAGAAGAATTTAACCTTTGCACCCAGAGCCCCAAGCCCCCCAGCCAGAGGTCACTCATTCGAGCAGAGCTCTGCCATAATTAACAAAGCCCATTGAATCATTGCATGTGCTTAGTTGTTGCATAGAGTATCCATCCTGCATGCGCACACAGAATGTTCACTGAGATATGATATCATCTCAGCCCAGCAATGTAACAGAAGAATTTAACCTTTGCACCCAGAGCCCCAAGCCCCCCAGCCAGAGGTCACTCATTCGAGCAGAGCTCTGCCATAATTAACAAGCCCATTGAATCATTGCATGTGCTTAGTTGTTGCATAGAATATCCATCCTGCATGCGCACACAGAATGTTCACTGAGATATGATATCATCTCAGCCCAGCAATGTAACAGAAGAATTTAACCTTTGCACCCAGAGCCCCAAGCCCCCAGCCAGAGGTCACTCATTCGAGCAGAGCTCTGCCATAATTAACAAAGCCCATTGAATCATTGCATGTGCTTAGTTGTTGCATAGAGTATCCATCCTGCATGCGCACACAGAATGTTCACTGAGATATGATATCATCTCAGCCCAGCAATGTAACAGAAGAATCCTTTGCACCCAGAGCCCCAAGCCCCCCAGCCAGAGGTCACTCATTCGAGCAGAGCTCTGCCATAATTAACAAAGCCCATTGAATCATTGCATGTGCTTAGTTGTTGCATAGAGTATCCATCCTGCATGCGCACACAGAATGTTCACTGAGATATGATATCATCTCAGCCCAGCAATGTAACAGAAGAATTTAACCTTTGCACCCAGAGCCCCAAGCCCCCCAGCCAGAGGTCACTCATTCGAGCAGAGCTCTGCCATAATTAACAAAGCCCATTGAATCATTGCATGTGCTTAGTTGTTGCATAGAGTATCCATCCTGCATGCGCACACAGAATGTTCACTGAGATATGATATCATCTCAGCCCAGCAATGTAACAGAAGAATTTAACCTTTGCACCCAGAGCCCCAAGCCCCCCAGCCAGAGGTCACTCATTCGAGCAGAGCTCTGCCATAATTAACAAGCCCATTGAATCATTGCATGTGCTTAGTTGTTGCATAGAGTATCCATCCTGCATGCGCACACAGAATGTTCACTGAGATATGATATCATCTCAGCCCAGCAATGTAACAGAAGAATTTAACCTTTGCACCCAGAGCCCCAAGCCCCCCAGCCAGAGGTCACTCATTCGAGCAGAGCTCTGCCATAATTAACAAAGCCCATTGAATCATTGCATGTGCTTAGTTGTTGCATAGAGTATCCATCCTGCATGCGCACACAGAATGTTCACTGAGATATGATATCATCTCAGCCCAGCAATGTAACAGAAGAATTTAACCTTTGCACCCAGAGCCCCAAGCCCCCCAGCCAGAGGTCACTCATTCGAGCAGAGCTCTGCCATAATTAACAAGCCCATTGAATCATTGCATGTGCTTAGTTGTTGCATAGAAATCCATCCTGCATGCGCACACAGAATGTTCACTGAGATATGATATCATCTCAGCCCAGCAATGTAACAGAAGAATTTAACCTTTGCACCCAGAGCCCCAAGCCCCCAGCCAGAGGTCACTCATTCGAGCAGAGCTCTGCCATAATTAACAAAGCCCATTGAATCATTGCATGTGCTTAGTTGTTGCATAGAGTATCCATCCTGCATGCGCACACAGAATGTTCACTGAGATATGATATCATCTCAGCCCAGCAATGTAACAGAAGAATTTAACCTTTGCACCCAGAGCCCCAAGCCCCCCAGCCAGAGGTCACTCATTCGAGCAGAGCTCTGCCATAATTAACAAGCCCATTGAATCATTGCATGTGCTTAGTTGTTGCATAGAATACCATCCTGCATGCGCACACAGAATGTTCACTGAGATATGATATCATCTCAGCCCAGCAATGTAACAGAAGAATTTAACCTTTGCACCCAGAGCCCCAAGCCCCCCAGCCAGAGGTCACTCATTCGAGCAGAGCTCTGCCATAATTAACAAAGCCCATTGAATCATTGCATGTGCTTAGTTGTTGCATAGAGTATCCATCCTGCATGCGCACACAGAATGTTCACTGAGATATGATATCATCTCAGCCCAGCAATGTAACAGAAGAATTTAACCTTTGCACCCAGAGCCCCAAGCCCCCAGCCAGAGGTCACTCATTCGAGCAGAGCTCTGCCATAATTAACAAAGCCCATTGAATCATTGCATGTGCTTAGTTGTTGCATAGAGTATCCATCCTGCATGCGCACACAGAATGTTCACTGAGATATGATATCATCTCAGCCCAGCAATGTAACAGAAGAATTTAACCTTTGCACCCAGAGCCCCAAGCCCCCCAGCCAGAGGTCACTCATTCGAGCAGAGCTCTGCCATAATTAACAAAGCCCATTGAATCATTGCATGTGCTTAGTTGTTGCATAGAGTATCCATCTTGCATGCGCACACAGAATGTTCACTGAGATATGATATCATCTCAGCCCAGCAATGTAACAGAAGAATTTAACCTTTGCACCAGAGCCCCAAGCCCCCCAGCCAGAGGTCACTCATTCGAGCAGACAGGCCCATTGCATTGCATGCTGGCACATGTAAATCTGGCTATTATATTTGCAATCATAAACCGATCTAGAGACCTACTAGAAACCTTATGCATGAGGCTTTTTAATCTATGTATATTAATTATGTATTTTTGAGGTAAATCTGACAGATAATCAATTTTGAGTATTTTTTGTAATTGAATGTTGTTAAGCTCATATGGTTTAATACGTTTAATATTTGTCAATCACTTCTCGCTTTTGAATGGGGAACTGCTGTCATTAACAAGTGCTTCTATTGTGTCTTTCCGCCAGGAAGAAAAAGTC